CCACCTAACATCCATCTGTATTGTTTAATCTATTTTAGCAATAAATTGGGCTTTATAAAAATGATGAGCTAATAGGATTAGTAATTTATTATTTGATAAGATAAAACCTTTAAAACATGTTTGTGATTTCTCCGAAAGAGAATCACCTCGCTTCAGGTCTTTGGAGACACTGGTCTCAATTAGGGGATACCTGCTCCTGGTCCCCCCCCCCTCCCCATGGCTCAGGGCTTTATTGTAAATATCTTTGGGTCAGAAACATCTGAAATTAACCTGACCACTGGATATTACCATTCTGTAGAGAATAATAGTGCCGTAACCTTCGCAAACAACTTAGATGCTTGAACCCTCCATTTAGCCTTGGACAATACATCCTGGAATTCACAAGAGTGCAGCTCCTCGGGACTCAGTATTAGGATGTTGTTATAACATCCTAATAGACTGTTGTTATAACAGTCTTATGGGCACCATGGTCCCTTCAGGGGGCACCAGAGGTGGTGTTCACAGTAAGAATACCATGTCTAAATAAACAAGCGACACAGCCGGCCTTTACTTAATCAAGTTAGTTCCTTAATCTGTTAATCATATAACCAACATCGATATTTATAAAGTACCTTCTGTGTCATCTCAAAAAGACAAACTAGAAGAAGAAGAAAAAAAGTGTTGGTGTCCTAACTGACAGGAAGAGAACATAGAATATTTGTGACCTTCGGTAAGTACCCTGCGCTCTGGGTGATGGCAGACAGAGGTTGTCCTAGATCAGGAGTCAGCAAACTTTTGAGTCAGAAGAGCCTCCAGGGGTCAGCAAACGCCACATGTGGCTCTTTGGGTACGTACATGTGGCTCTGAAGTAAAATTGAAAATGAAAATAAAACTACCATAGTTTCATTTATAAAATTTTTAAAGGCTTTTATTCACATAATGGTGATTATGTAAAAATATATTTATGGCTCTCGAATAATTTTTAAATTGTTGTGAGGGACAGGATTGGCTCTTCCAGGGGTCAGNAGCTGTGCTCTTGTGCCTGTCTGAAATGCTCTGCTCCTGGCTGCTTCCAGCCCTCACGTCCTTCGGGTCTCTGTTCCAATGTCACCTCCTCAGGGAGGCCTTCCCTGCTACTCAATACAGAAGCCCCCCCACTCTTCCCCCCCGCCTCCACTCCCGTGGTTCTCTATTCTCTTCCCTGCTTTATTTTTCTTCAGAGCACTTCTCACCACCTGACCGTTGCATCGTTCTCTCCATTGACTGCTAGAACGTAAGCTGCCTGAGGGCAGGAGACTGGTTTGTTCTACTCACTGCTCCATCCCCAGCACCTGGAACAGGGCCCAACACTTCGTGGGTACTTGATAAATGTTTGTTCACATGAATGAACCAAAAATTTTAGTCGCGATTTACCCATCACCCAGCCCAAAGCCCAGTACACAGTGGGCACTCAGTAAAAAATTTTAACTGAGGACAAGCAGAGAGGCCCACTTTGTGACAGCACTGACCGTTAGCATGGTCAGTGCATATTTTACATCACAAAAGTGTCCCTGAGAACTGTGACAGTGAGGGAAACATGAACAATTTGGCAAAGGGGCTGGCCCCACTTTGAGTGTGTGCTGCCAACCCCTGGACTCTAAATTTCTCACATTCTCTTTATAAACCGATCAATGAAAACCAAAGCTACAGGACAGTGCTTGTGAGCATGTCATACAAAGGGCCAGTTAGTCATCTGGCCAGAAGCACCAGGGCCACTGTGGGACACAAGCCAGAGGCCCCGGGAAGGTGGCCACCCCACCAGCCGTGAGCTCAGGATCAGGCGGCTACAGCAGAACCAGCACACAGCCCTGCGCTTGGCTTCAGCGTGGATTGTATCAGCTTCCCTCCCAGCAGGCATACGTTCCTCATTGTGCTTTCTTTAGAGTAATGCTACAATTGGTTCCAACTGTCTGGGCGCACATGTGCACCGCAGACCCCCCACAGAGTGACCATATGGTCACAGGGCGCGTTCCACCGTCTTCCACGGCCTCGGGACCTGTCCTCACGTGCCAGCTCTGCAGGCTGCCACGCGCTTTGCCTAAACAGGTTTGTCTGGTGCCCTGCTCCCTGTCTGGGTGGATGAAAGCAGCCAAACAGAAGTCTGGACTGTACAGGCAAAATGGTGATGCCCAAAGCTGCCGGGAAACTTTGCCAGGCGTGCTTTTCTTGTACTCATCTTCCTTCCTCTCCTCCTTTTTTCTTTTTTCTTACCTCCGTTTTTTCCTAAGTAACTTCCTCTTTTTTATGCAAAGTCCTCACATGGTTCACCCTCAGGGAACCCAGAGAGAACTGTAAAACCACAAGACAGATCTCGGCCTCCAAAGTCCCCCCCACAGCTCAACCCAAACCCCTCACTGACACGCCCCCTGTGTGCCTTACCTAGAGAGCGGGCCCCATGCCTGCCCCTCAGATGGGCACTCAACCGATTCCAAACACTGAAGGCAATTCTTGTGTTCGGAGAGAATATTTTGCCAACATAGGGCCTTTCTCCGTCTCCCTCCTCATTGTCTATAAAGCAGTATGAACTCCTGAAAGATTACATATGCTTTGCTTAAAAACAAACTTCAGAGAATTCCTTGTGGCTTCCTAAATTGGAGCCATTTAGGCAGGTCTGGCTTCAGCCAGTTCTACCTCGGCCTGAATGGCTGAGCCTTTGCACTGATATCGCCTGCAGGTTCTGGGACTCCAGTTGTTTAGAATTGGGACAAGCTATGACCTTTTCTCCCCTAAATCCATACCTGGGCCTGAGTCTGAGTACCGCCATTTATGGAGTGGTCCCCAGATGCTCGCAGTGCTTGGTAGCTGAGGCCGCAGCCATGGAGATGATATGAGCTGTGGGATGCTCATGTCTAGGCCTCCCCACTCCTGGAGCTGTGTAGACAGACTGAATTATTCACTGACCACCTACTGTGCAGTCACGCAGAGATTCAGATCCACTCAGCTCAGTACATCTAGTGCGACAAGAAATGGGGCAAAGGTTCGGGCGGGGAGGAATTCGCTTTCGAAGGCCCTGACAGGTAGGTGGTGGCAGGAGAGGAAAGAGGTGAGCACATGTAGGGCGTATTCGGGAAGGAGAAGCAGCAAGGTCTCCCACGGGTCTGTGAGAGAGGCTAGAAGCAGAGTCTGAGGCCCAAGGGGACCAGGTTTTGCCCGTGAGGGTGTGAGCCGTGCACTGTGTGTATGGCCGAGAGAGAGCCCTCTCACACCATCTCTGAGCAATACCATCTCTGGCACCCTGAGGTGGGGGTGATTCAGGAGGCAGGAAATATTTTTTGGAAGCTGCTGTAAAAACCTCAAAGAAGAGCAGAGAGGGCTCTGCACCTCAGCATTGGCAGTGAGGATGATGAGAAATGTTCACCCAGCAATCTCACGTGGAGATCAATGTCCCCGTGGGTACCTTTCTTTAAGAATGGCCACCTCGTGAACCCCCCTGACTCATACCGTCTCCTTCCTCTCGCACCCCAGGACCAGCTCTCAGAGCCCCGCTCCCCAGCCAATGGTGACTACAGAGACACTGGGATGGTCCTCGTTAACCCCTTCTGCCAAGAAACACTATTTGTGGGAACCGATCAGGTATCAGAGATCTAAGCGCAGCAGCCCTCGCTTTGCCATTCCCTCCCTTTCGTCTCTAAATTACAAATATCCAAATATATATTACAAATATAATCTTTGTGTAGCCCTGACTTACTGAGAAACATTTTCAGCTTTTTTTGTTCCCCTAAGAATTGTCAACACCTTTTTTATAAGTGTGGTTTAAGAACAAACAAACAAAAACTTTACAGAACGATCCGTGGCTTTATAAAATAAAGGTCTTTCTAAGCAAAGCAGTTGCATTGATTGCTTCTCTTAATAACTGTCCTTGAGCACTTGGGGGTCCCAGCAGCCCTCAGCAGGTCAGGGAAGACACTGACATGGGGAAGCGGAGTGTTAAATGGTCATGAGCCCGGCCCTTTGAGTGATTCTTAAAGCTCTGGTTCCCCTTGAATCCATGTGACCCCCCTGCCTCCCTCCTCCTATGCACACCAGTGAAGGGCCACCTGGGGGGAAGAGGTGACAGACTCATGCACTAAAGCAGGACAGGGGACATGTCATCACCCCAGTGGATGAGTGCCCTGGAGCCTCACACTGGCACCACTGGCTGTCAAGTGCAAGTTCATCCAAGCAGACGCAGGCAGGGGCAGCAGCCCCACCCCGGAATCCTTGGCGTTCTTCAGGCATCCTAAGGCCACGCCCCCCCCCCACCATCACACAACAGGGACCTTCCGCTGTGCTGACAGGACTGCCTTTCCCTGGTGACAAATGGCTCCCCTCTAAGCCCACGCCTGCATCCTCTCCGACGCCCACATCTGCAGTCAACACTCGTGCCTTTCTCTGGAGAGGGTTTCCATGCGGATCCCAGCCTGGAGCTGAAGAATGCTTGTCCTTCTTCAAGGGCCACATGTGTATTGAGGTTCAGCTTTGTTTTCTCCAAAGGCCATCAGACTGTCCCCCTGAGGAATATGTTTCTGTAAGAAGCCTTGAAGTGTAGAGCTGTAATTTCCTAAGTCGACCTCCTGTGATCTTTAAAAAACAAGACTTCCAACGCGATTGTTCGGGCGAAGAATCATTACATCCCTCCCT